ATTAGAGGCTGAAAAGCTTAGTGCCAGCAAAGCAGGCAGTTCTAGCCCAAGGCAGCATTGACCTGTTCACATGTGGTACGTCGTCAGGCAAAATTAAAGACAGTGTCATGCCTACTCTGAGCTGCTTGCTGGAGAATTGCTTCCAATACACCTCTTTAGGAGCGGATCGTGAGTCTGCTTCCTGAGAGGTTTCAGACTCTTAATGGGACATGGTTTCTAGACTGAGGGTATAGGAGATTGAACAAGTCAGAGTCCCTTCTTAGCTGTAAATATAGGTGTTACTCCCAATACTGCAACTCTTTGCGTGTCTTCATTTCCAGACCTGTTTTCTGCTATTGATCTGTAGTCCTAAAACGACGTAATGTCATTTGTAAACTGCTGTGAAGAATAACAGGTTTTGGTCTTGAGTTTACACTTCGTCACCATGCACGTTTTAATAATCAAGATGGTGGGAGGGTGCCCTTCTCAGGAAAAGAGTTGCCGTCATGCCTTTGAGCTCAGGGGTGATGTATGCATCAGGTGGGAGCTTGGCCTTTTACTGCCAGAGGCTCTGGCCGTGCGCAGGCTGCCGTCCTGTCCAGCACCTGACAAAGCCACGGAGTTTGTCCTAAGAGAATGTGACCTTCTGGACTGCCAGCTGCACTTCGTCCAGATTTCAGGACAACATTAAGCATTTCTCGTCTCATTTTGTCTTGCTGGCCTCATGGTGTTATCCTGCTCAGTTTGGAAAATCTGAACAGGCTGTTCTTCTGTATCTGTTGTTCCCATTTTCCTCTATTCGCAAAAACTATCCTAGAAACCTTAGCAGGTCTTATAACTTTATACTTTTAAACGTGCAGTCATTTGAACTGCAACTGACACTGTTGCTTTTAGTATTACACAGAAGTATCATTATGGTTTTAAAGGCAGCTTTTTTTTCTCAGTATGTTTTCCTGCAAGCATATAATTTTATGTGCATACCACTCAAACAGCAGTTTCATTCTTAAGTGTCTTGACAAAAACCCCACCCAACAGATTTTCTAGTTTAGTTGTAATGATAAATGGAGAAAAATCTGTTGTGCTCAATTATCACCATTAAAGTAGTACAAACTTTTGTATTTTGACTCTCTACATTTTCTTTCTCTTTTCTTTCTTTTTTTTTAAAACATTAATTATGAGCTAGTTCCACTGATTGTTTTCCTGTTGTTTTTTTCCCGCTTTACAGAGTAAAATGAAACCACAGAGTTTTTCTCCTTTCATTCAGTTCTGCTGCACTAAGCTTTTTCTTGTGTTGATAGAAGGCTGCTAGAAAGGGGTGGAGCGTTAAACAAATCCAGGATAGAATAGTCAGTGAGTGAAATTCTAGAAGCATTTTATTGTCATCTATTTAAAAATAGTTTACTATTTCAGAACTTCAGTCTAATAGGAATAGCTTATAAACTCTTCTGCATGTCTCTGTTCTCAGATGCGTTTCTGGATTCGAATCTGAAATTCTCTGGAAGATTTCTTCAAGGAGGAAATTGAGGAAAGGTGAGGAACTGGAGTATCTTACCTATAGACTTTTGCATAAACTTGAGATTTTGGATCGTGTGATGTGAATGGTGGTTCTGAAAGTACAGATGCCACATAACTGTCTGCATCAGGGGGAGTGGGTGTTTGCAGCGAAGATTATGGTTTAAAGATGTTCTGAAATTGGTTTATGCCATACTTTTGTGTACCTTGGCTTTTTGCTTCATTAGTGAACCTACGCTTCCTGAAACCATGGAATGTAATTCGTATCTGTGTAGTAACATACAGTTGGACTTAATTTCCATTTTTGCAAGTTTGTCAAAATCTGGTCCCCAAACTTGAGCATTGAATGTATTATTTTGTTAAAATGTTAACAAGTATCATCTGTCTTAGCTTTTGAGATGTTTTGTGGTCTTCTGTGTGGTGAATTTTATGATCTTTTGTATGGCGGTTCAAATGCTGCCACATGATATATAGTTAGCAGCTCCAAAAATCTTTGGAACAACAGTTCCTTTTCCAGCGGATTTAATTAGAAAAATTAAATGGAAAGAACACTGACTGGTTTCCTAATGCTGCTGGATACTCAGGTTTGCACTGTTCTTTCTAATGGAATGTAGTTTATGCAAGTCTTCAGTTTGACAAAAATAATCATAGTCTCTGTTCCAGGACAGATACTCAACAAATCTCAATAAGATTAACTAATGAAATTAAATACTAGCCAAATTTATTAGCATTAATATTCATTGAAGTCAGGAAAGCTTTTGCTGTCCAAATGTGATATGATATGAAAAGTAGGATGGTTTTAGGGATTTGGGATGTAGCAACTTTTTAGCATGACCCTGACTTCCAGTGAGTCAGTAGCGAGCTCTGTATTGCTCGGACCTCCAAGGTGTTCTTCTTCCGCACTTTCCTGGCCAAGAGGAGTCCTGGTCTGTGCCTACCCTCAAACCCTGGCTTCCCTGCTGATCCTTGCAGCAGGACAGGGCAGTTGCCTAAATGTGTTGGGGTACAGGCTCCTCGGCAAACTCTACTGTATTTGGATATTTGGTTTGAGAGACAATATTATGAACTTTTCAGGGCTCCCAAACCAGGCAAGTTTAAGAGAAAAAAAGAGGCTTATTTTACTAGGATGCATGTCAAAGCATTTAGCTGCAATACTGAGGCCAAGGTTGCAAAAGAAGAGTAAAATCTAGAGTTGTGCTCCATCTTGTTTGGGTTAATATCCCTCACTTAGGATCCTTAATGTGTGCCACAGCAGCTGAATCTGAGAGAACAGTACCATTTGCAGTAGGCTGTCTTGAATGTTGCTTGCTGCAATTGTACTGTTTCTTTAGATCTCAGTTTCAGAAATACCCATCCTAATTTCACATCTGCTCTCACTCCAGTGGAAGGGAAGTTTTTAATGGGCAACATTTCTTTGATATGCAGAGATTAGTACCTGTCGTGGTTTAACCCCAGCTGGCAGCTAAGCACCACACAGCTGCTGGCTCGCTCCTGACCCTGCAGTGGGATGGGGAAGAGAATCATAAAAAAAGAGTAAAACTCGTGGGTTGAGATAAAAACAATTTAATAGGACAGAAAAGGAAGGGGAAATAATAATAATAATAATAATAATAATAATAATAATAATAATAATAATAATAATAATATACAAAGCAAGTGGTGCACAACACAATTGCTTACCACCCACTGAATAATGCCCAGCCAATGCATGTGCCACGGTGCCCCCCAGCCAACTTGGGCATGACATCATATGTCATGGAATACCCCTTCGCATCATTTGGGTCAGCTGTCCTTGCTGTGTCCCCTCCCAGTTTCTTGTGCACCCCCAGCCTCCACTGGCAGGGCAGTATGAAAAGCTGAAAAGTCCTTGACTTAGTATAAACACTGCTTAGCAACAACTGAAACATCAGTGTGTTATCAACGTTATTCTCATCCTAAATCCAAAACACAGCGGTATACCAGCTACTAAGAAGAAAATTAACTTTATTCCAACCGAAACCAGGACAGTAACTTATGACCTGTAGGATGTCAAATAAGATCAGATTGCTTCCTCCTAAGCTTCTTGCCAAGCCTTGAAGACTTACTATGCATTAAGCAGTTTCCAGAGGTTAGCTGAAGCTTGAGCGATTCTGGCGAGCTTGTGCTTATTCCCCTGTATGGCTCTGTGCCTGCAAAGGTCGGACAGGACGTACAGATGGCAGACCTGGCAGCAGGGCACTGCCTGGTGCAGAGGTTTCTCAGTGTGTGGTATCCGAATACAGGTGCAGAGGCAGGAGCCGGTTTGAGGAGCGGGTGGTCTGCATGGTGAGAGGACCACGTTGGTTTGAGAAGGTGGCATGCTCATATATCGCTAGAGAAATATGGCTGGGACCATTTTGCATTTCAATGTTATTTTCTGATGGGTTCTAGAGACCTCCAATCTAATTGTCAATTAGATAAAAAGTACAAATATGTGTCTTTCTCTCTAGATTTTTTTCTCTAAATGTTCTGAAAGTTCTCAGTACTGCAGTCACTTTGGGACATTTAAAATTGGCAAGGACAGAGCAGTTGCAATGACACTTTCAGAGGATAGTTCTTCAGCATTCGTAAAACCAAGCAGACAGTCTTTATGGCATTGCTCTGTTTCTCCATGGCTCCTGCCACTTTTACATGGGTATTGTATGTCTACATCTATGCCCTCTTTCAGTCAGGCTCAGTAATATAATTACTGTAATGCAGTAGGTTGTTAATGCTGATTCAGGATAAATCTTGAGTGTCTCAGAAAAACTGGAAATGTCAGGCAGTATAAAGTACATTTCAAAGTGCAGTGCAGGATTTGTATCTTTCCAGATACCTCCCTGGAAAATAATAGCAACTACTTATCTTCTGCCCAGATCCATTTAAAATTTACCTTATGAATACTTAACTTTTTAGTACTCAGTACTTTTGAGCAGTGCATATATGTTGATGCAGCTAAACTTGATTACCTTGTAAGAGGTAACCAGTTATTTGTATTTGCTAGGGCCCATGGATAGACAATATAAGCCAGACCATTTTCTGTTGTCCTTTGTATGGAAACACTTTTTAGGTTTCTCTTTCCTGCAAGTAACGGCAAGGTGATTTTTATTGCAGGCCATCTGCTTAGCAATGCATATCTGCCTAAATATACACTCATTGTCTTGAAATAAGTAAAGACTGATATCCTCCATGATTTCAGTGGGAATCAAAGCATTGCCTACTTCTTACTTCTTGTACTATAGCTTGCTTTTTACAGATATTTTATTTTCACTGAAAGTCTATGAGTCAAATTAATTTTTAGTGAAGTAATTGAATTAGATGTAAATTTTGTCCTGTTATTTAAAAGGCTAATAAAGACTTTGTTGCATCTCTTTTGCCTCAGAATACATGTTTAATGGAAGCTGGTTTTACCTTGGAAGAACAATTCCATGGCAAATTGACCAATTTGCATTATACCTCAGGGAAAGAAATAAAAGGGACTGGCCAGGTTAAAGCTTTGACAGGGTAAATTTTATTTCAAAATACAGTCAGACTTCAAATTAACCCCTCCCATGTATTTCAAAGACCTGGGAAATCAATGGGTTATACTAATAAATTCTTTTTTTGCCTTTGCTTTTAATGTAAGTTTCAGTGCAATTCAAAGACTAATTAATTCTTTCTCTAAGTGTTTTGATCATGCAATGCTGCAAAAGGATGAAAGGGATTTTTTTTCCCCATGTTTTAGTTTCTACTTCACAGGTCTTGATGTATTAGCTTAGTATAGTTCATGTTATGTTGATTGTTGTGCGTTTGTTTTCTTTTCCATATAGCCCATACACTCTGCAGACTGTGGATTTGATGTTAAGACCCCACCAGCTGGGCTGTACCCAACCTGTGTTGGCGTCAGCTCAGCTGGGACTAGGGGGTTGCATCTCAACACTGAGGGCTCTGTGCAGCCTGTCTTCCTTGATGCTCGTGTCCCAGAGCTTATTCGAGCCTGTCAGCAGATAACACTCAGAGAGGTGGAAAGGTGAGTCTGTGCTGCACCCCGATACCAGCATCACATGAACTGCCTGTCGGTAGCTCTGCGGGACTCCTCTGAGCTGCTGCTCTCATGCAGGTGCTGGTACAGGTATTGCCTGGCAGATGAGTGTACTTGTGCAGGCCCAGCCTGGTGGTCCACCGGCTAGGTGGCCCTGTCTGGGTCAGGTTGTAGTGCTCCTTGGACACAGCCAGTGACTGCCTATTTGAGATCATGGTGAGATCTTTTAGGGGTGGGTCACGGATTAGGGCACACCTGTGGGTTTTTCCTCTATTTCTTCTCTCTGCTCTTGGCAAGAAGGAAGTTGGACTAAATGACTGTGGAGCTTGCTTGGAGCTATAATCTTCTGCCACGGTGACCTGTGCTGAGTGGTGCTCTCCATGCTTCTGCCTGTCTCCGGTCAGCAGCTCTGGGAGAGGGTGGGTCAGGTAAAATCCTTGAGTGTGAGCTCAGGTTACAACAGGAAAATATGTGTGTTTGTCTTTAGGGGTCCATACCAGAATGGATGTGTGATCAACCCAAAAGATGAGGTTTTCAGTCTTTCTGATGAGGCTGGGGGGCACACTTGATCAAGCATCCACCTGTATTCTGCTTCACTATGCAGGGCTCAGGCTTATTAAACTTCTAAATAGGTTGCAAATTCCATTGTCTTCTCCTGTTAGTTACACTTGTAGACTAAGTTGTGGGCTAGGGTTAGTGTGTTCCAGGGTGGGGTTTTTTTGGTTGGCTTTTTTTTCCTTTTTATGCCAGGATTTCTTATTTTCTTGGTTTGGCGTCAGCATGTAGAACAGGCCTTTTGTTGTGGTGAAGAAGTCAGTACAATACAACCATTTGTTACCTCCTCCTGCTTCTGCTCTTGGTGCTGTGGCCATCAAGTGAAGTTTTGCACAGAAGCCGTTGAAGGTGTTTGTGTTCTGTTTCACCAAGTAATGTGCAGCAGGAAAAATAATAGAGTCCATGATCTTTAATATTGTATTTTTGTTAGCCTCCTGTTTCACTTTGTCATCTTGTACGCAGTCTTGCATTTGTGGTCTGTCTAAGATGTGCATAGAGGACAGCAGATTGCTTTGACTTGGCTCTCGTTGATGTGCTGGCACAGCTTGCCACAAGTGACGGGGGTTACCCTGTGTCTGCACGTTGCGTGGCAGCACTGGGAGGTCCATGGAAGAGGTGAAGGTGACCGCTCTCTAGGTGATGTGTCAGACCACCAGAAGATCTGCTCTTACAGTGTGACCCATAGGTAGTCACTTACATGCTGGCACCATTGTGCCTTATCACAACCTAAAATATGGTAAATGAGGTGATGGAAGGAGTGAGTGCTGTAACTCACTACAATGCATGTTACAGTCATTCTCTTACAATATTGTGGCATATATCTTGTATTAAACAGATAAGCTTTCATTTAACTGAAAAATCAAATAGAGCTTATGTATAGTCTGTTGTACAGGGCCTGGCCCCCTTTTCACTGTCCTAAGCAACTCTGGTACAGCACTCATGTGGTTGTAGTTGCATGGTTACAGAAGTGTGTAGTGTTGTTTTACCTTGCCTTAGCCAGGCCTGCTGCATATGTTGATATTCTGCGTGCGGAAAAACAATGTTGTGTTTTAGGCAAGGATATCTATAAGGTTAAGAATGATGTTGATCGTGTCTGCTTTTCATCAAACAATAACTGGCAAACTGAATGCTATGCTAACTAACAGTAATTCTGGGATGTACTGAAATGGGTGGCATGTGGGCCTGGGCAGAGAGCACAAGTAGTTGTTTCTGGAGGCTCTTCACAGTCAGTGCACTGTTCATATTTCCTCCTACCTGAGTTGGGAACATACAGGTCTGCATTCAGCCTGTAATTGTGCTATATTGTGTGTTTGGAATGTTTTTTTTTTTTTAATAACTCATACAAATCTCTGGGCTGTGTATTTTATATAGTCACTGTTTTCTGGCATTCACAGAAATAAAACAGAGTGCTTCTTACTCACATCAAAAAAATGTTCTCAGGGCAAACCTTGAACAAACATTGATTTCCTTTGGCCACAACAGCAATGCACTAAACCCGTATTACTTGAGCAAAAGTAGAAAAGTGAAGCTATTACTTTCCTTGTGTCTGTGAACGTTGCATGTGGCTGCACAGGAGAACTTTTGTGTCATGTTTGGTCTGTGGTACAGGTCTTGTGGACTGTTCTGCTGGGCTCTCACCTTTTATAAAAGATAGGTCTTCTAAACATAGGAATATACTAGGCTGTTGGTATTTTCTTGCCATAACTGAACATTCAAAGCTATGGTTAAAAAAAAGGGTCAATATTGTTCTTGCAGATGACAGGTTAAAACAGAAAACAACTACGGGCCAGAATTCAGGCAATCCTGAATTTCCTGCAAGAAATCGTCCTTTGCCCAAATGGAGAAGGAGAACAAACAGAGAATGTAAGGTTTGGGTTTAGCTGGGGTTTTGGGTTGCTTGGGGAGGGGTTGTCCTTCCACATAGATTTTTCTTCCTTGGTATCAAATAATAAAGTTAGAGGGAACATTTGGTGCTAGGTGGGGCTGGTTTGATGGGACAATACTGAAGACTTTGTTCAGGTGCCACTCGGTCTCTCCTCTACTGCCAATTTCAGGATTTGGCCAATAGTTGTTGCACACGTACAGTATTTGTCAGGGTTTTGACTCTATTTAGATCCAGAGAATAACATATGATTATTTATTATTATTTTACACTTCTTCTGTCAACCATGAAAACAGCCCTTTTCTTCAAACAGGAGCAGAACAAAAAGAGTAACAAGAGTTCAAAGGCATCATGGAATGAATACATTCTCCCTCCATTCCAGTTATAAACTGTGTCAGCCGTAAGTTTGCAGCATGCACAGTAAGAAGCATCCCTGGCTCAGAGAAGTGACAGGGAGAAGTGACGGGCCCTCCTGTACCCTTGGGGTGAGAAGCCAGGCTCTGCCTCTCCTGGGGCAGAGCTGTCAGTGACATGGCTGCAGGACGGAGAGGTGAAGCAACTTGCAAAATCACTCATACATGTCTCAGGGCAAGGAGCAGCTTCCCAGAGGCTGGGTCTGTCACCTTGGCCTCTCTAGAAGCAGCCGAGTGCTTCTGTGCCACTCCAGTTCCCATTTAATGAAACCGCCACCGGCTGCCTTTTCTTTGCCCTTATGTGGTGCCTTTGGCCTCTCCTCCTCTTGCTCACGCAGGAGATTGGGGTTTAGAGGGCAGCTCCACCTGGCAGCGTCACATGCTCTCTTCTAGTGTGGCACCTTAGGTGACTGTCTACCTTCCCTAAGCTCCAGGCATTGAGTTACTGGTCTAATTCTCTCCCCCTCTGTCTGGTGAATCCGTACACAACAGCAGTGAGGTGTCTCCCATGTTCATCAGTCGGGTGTTGCTGCAGGCTGAGAGCAGGGGAGGTGAGCATTGCCACCGCCTGCGCTATCTCCGAGCTTTCATGCCCAGCTCACCCACCCTCAGGCATGCGTCTGCATGATTAGCAGTTGCTGATCAACTCCTCTGTTTTTCAAGGTTAAACAAGACAAGAAGAAAAAAATGGTGTACTGCTTTAAAGGTAGGTGATTGCTTGCGTATTTAGAATAAGGACTTCGTCTGTGCTGCCCTACAAAGAAGAGTTAAACTGGTGAAATGGTATGTGGTGTGCTGTCATTTAGTGAAGCGTATGGCTGTTACATAAAGGTTTTAATGACTTTCTTCATCTGTCTGCTTAGGAACACCATGCGTCTGGCAAAATTTTGAGAAGGCTCAAGGCGTTAAAGAAAGCTCATCTAAATAAAGGAGGGTTAACGTGACATTGCAGTTACTTAATCCTGTATTGTCCTGCCATGTGACTGCAGAGATACTGAGGCGCAGTGTTCCTTTTGCCTGGTGCACAGATTATGCTTTTCCTGTCATCTTCCAGGATCAGTTGCTTTGTTAAAGCTGCCATGAGGAGGAAACAGAGGAGCAACAAACTTTTTACAGCAAGGCTTCAAGGCACATTGCCATTTACAAGGCAGAGTCACAAGCATACAGGCTGAAAAATGAATCAAAGGGAAACCCTACGTTCAGCTCTTGGACTGGTACCAGAATGAAGGAGAACTACGCTCTTAAAAGTCAGCTATTCAAAATGAACTGGAAGCATCCGGATTTATTCAGAGTAGTTAATCAGCTATTTGTTTGACCTTTATCAAGTTAGTTTTCAAAGCAGCAAGCTAAAGCCTGAAAATTCGTGTCAAATGTTTTGCATGTGTCAAATGTACTGTATAGACAGTGAGCAACTCAGCGCTTTCTTCCACAAAGTTTACAGTTTTAATTGCAAAGCCTCTTTTACCTTGTAGATGAAGATCCTGACATACTAAATCTGTTAGCGAGAGATGGATGTAAACAGCTTCCAGTTTTATCTCTGATTTTTGAACAGAACTGCAATATGTAGATACGCCAGATTTGCTTTTGAAGTAATTTCCAAACTAATCCTTGGACTTTCAGTAAGCTGCTTTTTTTGCTAAGTTTGTCACTGTGTCCATTATGTGCAGGATTGCATATCCATACAGAACTATTTCATTTAAACTCCTTATCGGGACATCTTGTTAAATGGGGAAGTAATTACCCTATAAACTATGACAACAGGATATGTGAATGGAGGAAGTCTTGGAAAACACCGCTATTCCAGGTGGCATCGTGAGGACAGCGGAGAAGACGATGGGCACCCAGAGTGCTGTGGAGGAGATGAAGAGGGCAGGCAGCACAGGCTGACCCCATTTGAGAAACTAATGCAGGATATGTCCCAGAATGAAAAAGTGGTGAAAGAATTAACCCTGGGAAAGAGAATTGGCTTCTATCGAGTCAGAGGAGAAATAGGAAGTGGGAATTTCTCACAAGTGAAGCTTGGAATTCATTCCCTAACCAAAGGTAGGCACTGCTGTGTGGGTCACCTGTGTGCTGAGCACCCTGGTCCTGTATGTATACCAATGGCCCTATTTGGGAAGAAAGATGCTGTGTGAATTTTAAATATACATATAGTTTGTCTGTGTCTTTTTTGTTGTTGTTGAGTGAATCTACAGGCAGGGCCACAGATAAATGCTTAAGTTTGGATTAGGCTTGAAAGAAACCAGAACATTTTCTTTAGATGGTGGCTATTACAAGGAAAGTTCATCTCTGCACTTCCTGGAATTAACACATCTCATCCTATGGCTCAAACACTACACACTTTGAAGCATGGTGTTGTGCCTCCCCTCCTACAAATCATGCTGTCCGTCTGCCCTCTTGCCTGCCCCAGCTCATGGACTGCAGGGCCATAGGTGGTGAGCCCCCAGGGCAGCCTGGCTAGGCATGCTCCTGCCCACAGACAGTTAGCAAGGCTTCCTTTGTTTCATCACAGATTTTACTAGTATGGACAAAGCTTTTATTTGGTCACAGTAATTTTGGTGATAAATTTTATGCCTGCTTTACTGACTCATTTGCAGGTAGTTCATTACTGTAAAAAGCTGGGACAGGGCTAGAGGTGTGGGCTGAGCAGGTGCAGGCAAATGAGCTCTGGTACAGCCAAACCAGGGTTTGTGTTGAACTGTCAATTATTTTTCTTTTTTTAAGTACAGAAAAGCACCCTATATGGTGCTTCTAGGAAGAACTAGAAAGGCTAGGAAGCCGCAGCAAACACTTCAGTTGTAGGTATAACTAAGAACTTGTGTTTTTCTGTCCTGTTTCTTCTTCTGTCTGACTGACAATACTAGAAACTGTGCTTGTTTTCCCTCAGTGATGACTAGTTTTCCCCACATCTTAGTACACTGCTGTCTTGTTTTTTTCTCATAGTCTTTCCTTTCCAATTTCATTGACTCTCCTTCCCTCCATCATCTTATAGGTGAGAGAATGAGATACACCCCAAAGCCTTCATGCCATGTTAACTGTTGTTATTTTCTCTAACCACCTCTTTCAGCCCAGACTGCAGAGGTGTGAAAGCTCACATTTATATGTGCAGCAGTTGTTGCACTGGGAATCAAAGTGGGAAACTGATGGTATTTATTTTTTCCAAATTTAAGCCTGCCTATGCCTAAGGGCTGCTTTAACTGGGTGTGGATTTTTTGGTTTTGCTTGTTTCAGAAAAGTATCTCTGTTGTACTTGGCCCACAGCAAGTTATTGCTTCTTTTCTGTTTTTTTTTTTTCTTCCAGAAAAAGCAGTCTTGTGCTTACTGTTGGAGGAAATGCTGCTCCTGTACTGAGAACAGGAGGAATGCTAATGAAAGGAAGTTATAAATTTGATGTGGATGAACCTTTTACCTGTTGAACATACTTAGGAGACGAGTTGCTTTAGCATTTGAATAGAACTGATTGAAAAATTTTGAACTTCAGTGAATAGAGTAAGCTTGGACAAACTAAATACCAAAACCATAGTTCTTTTTCTTGAAAATGTTCCTTTTCACCAGATGTTTCTCAAATTTTCTTTTGCTTTTGAGTAGCAGATTTTTGGTTAAAAAGTTCACTGGGCAAGGAGTTCATTTCTCGATACTAAGTTTGCAAATATCATGAGGAAGGGAGGATGAAGGATAAACATCTTTTAACTCATCTCTGCCTGTGACTTTACCTGTCCTCATAAAATACAGTATGTGGATAGGAGGATAGGAACACGCAAACATGTGCACACACACCACCACCACCACCTATAAAGAAGATTCTGTTTTTTTCCAGTAGATGCACATCGTTGTGTTGGTAATGAAGTGATGTTCCTGCACAGTACTACTGAATAAAAGTCTTTTTTTTGCTGATTATGTAAATACAAAGGCTTCATTATTAATGCTGTTTGCGTCCCTGTGGCAGGGGGAGGTATATGTGGTAGGGGGCTGTTCAGCTCTCCAGTTATTGTCATAGAGTTAAAGTCTAAGTATTTCCTTTCGCCTTACATGTCACCCTATATTAAAAAAGGAGACAATTTTGTTCTTTACTAAGATGAGCTTTTGTAACAATTACATGTGTGCTGTTCTGTAGCCCTTGTGATCTGTTGCAGCAGGATACATGAAAAAAGTTTTCTAGAGGGAGAGAGGGAAAAACTGCAGGACGATACTGGATGAAAAACCTTGTTTCTCTCACAACAGCTGCCTTGGTTGCTTAGAGGATGCAGGAAAATCTTTCATGCTATGATGTGTACTAGGTTATTCAGGAGCATTGCCCACTTCATTAACCTGAATTTTGGCAGAGATTTTCTCCAGAGACCTGTGGAGTTTCTTTCTAATGACTGTTAGGTTCCTGAGCTCTGTGTAACCTTTATTTTACATACCTTCCAGCTGACAAATGTAGTCTGAGTGTACAGCTGAATAGATGCAATTAAAAGCATCCAAAATAGACTGGCTTTTTACCAGCTATAAACCATGAATTGCAAAGGCAGGAACATCCCAGCACCTAGTTTGCTTTTTTAAAAGCAATTTTAACTTGGTTCTGTTTGTATTTTGTTTCCTTTTGCCTTCATAGCATAGACCGCTTCTTCCTGAAATGATTTCTCAACCTTTTCCTAACTTCTTTTATTAAGATTTCAGCTAGCTCTTTTCAAACCTCAGCATACACTGCATATAGTCAATCAAAATCTCTTGCTACTCAGTATTTTGGTAGATAAGCTGCCTGCTAAACGTGCCCTCCTGTTCAGCACTGCTGCCATGCAAGGGTAATGCAGGATTTGTAAACCAAGCTTTTTTTGGAAGCAGAAGGAACGAATTTAAAAAAGAAAGGGAGGGTGTCAGTTTTTTTACACTTCAGGTAGGCTGGTTTTCTTTGTATATCATGCATATGCAACTGCAATGATACAGATTTAAAGGAGCTCAGCTCTGATTCATGGCGGTGTGGAAACAGGATCAGGCCCTTCAGCTCTAAACCTTTTTTTTTTTTTTTTTTAAAAAACTGCAGGAAAACTGACCAGGAGGAATAATAAATTCCAGCAAAAGGGAAGGGAAGGAATTTAACCTAGAATATTATTTTTTTTAAAGCCTAAATGCCCCCAGCTTTTCTAAATCAAGATGTAACAATGCAATTACATAGTTAAAGATTGTAAGAATTGTTATCCCTGTAGTATCTAACCATTTAGTTCTGCAAATGTTACCTCCTGTGAGCTGATGCTCTTTCCTCTTGGTTTAGGGGATCAATATCCTGCCAACGTGACGAGGGTTTTAGTCTTTCACCCCTAGGTCAGCAGTCAGAGCTCTGCCAGGATCAGTGTGCTGTTACCGTTCAGTAGCTGCATTTCCTCCTCATTCACCACACCACCATCAGCGCCACACAGGACTAGGCACCCGCTTTCCTACAGGCCTCTCTAGAACGCACGGAACAGGTCAGAGAGAAGCAGTGTGGGGAAGACTGCCCTATATTCAGCACGGACTCCTTCTGAAAACAGGCACATCAAGGGATAATTCAGCACCTTTTACAAGAATCAATCGCATTTGCTTGGAGTATCTGCTGCCCTTCAGTAGTGAGATCAATTTATGCATGTATGTTACTAAGAAAGGTAAATATACCAAACATGGAGTCTCTTGATCTGTACAGATGTATGCATATGTATCCTTAACACTTCCTTTAGGTACGTTGGAATACTGAACTTGAGTTAAATAACTTTATAATATTAAGTAAAAACATTTTGAATGCTTTTATACCAGAACACATGTACAAATGTAATAGCCTTCTTACTCTTCTCTTAAAGCAACAAGTAAACAATCCTTTTTTTTTTATTATTTACTCCCATGTACTAGAAACCAAGGTGAAGCTTTTTTTCTGAAAGATTTGATAAAAGCAATTAATTGTTAAGAAATCTGTGAATGCTTGACTAAGATATTCTTGGGGAGAAGAACCTTCTTCCCAGGAATAAACAGTTGTTTTTACTGCCATGGTCCAGTTTGATTTTGCTGCTCTGACAAGTTATACAAAGCCACTGTAAACCTATTTTAACCAGACTAATGCCTCAAATACCAGCTGTATTCAACAGAGTGAAGACAAAAGCCATAACATACCAATTAATACAGGAACATAAGGGCAATTGTGATTGACCTATTCATACTGCTCCAAGCTATCCTGGTGATGTCGTGCAGCTGCAGCTGTGTATCTGTGGTTTGTGGCCCTTGGCTTCACTGTAGATATGCTACAAAAACATGCAGGACTTAACAGCAGCTTTGCATTACTAGGACTAGATTTGCTGTCTTACAGGATCCCGGCAACTTACTCTACTTCACTCGTTTTTTTCCCTTCCTCTGAATAAAATCTGTGTGTCATGGCCCACTGTGGCATACAGACATAAAAATGTACTTTCCCTGTATTCTGTACAGTACCAAGAACTACTCATACATGAACGTGTTGAAAAAACTGGCACAGCTATCCTGAGAAAGATAAACCTCTACAACACTTGATTTTGTTAACTGAGAATTTGTGGGGGTATGGGATAAGAAGTAGGTAAAAGTTCTTAAGTCGCACCAACTAAAAAACACCTCTCCGTTATAAACTTGCAGGGTTATAGCCAGAGCCCCTAAATTACCCCCAAGTTTGTCTGTCTGCTATGAAACAAAGCACCTAAATTTGACACCTTCATCAGTTTGCAAGTACCAGGCTCAGGCCTAGCTGAGAAGAGTGCTGAGCTGGCAATGGAAGAGAAAGCACAGACTTTCCTCACCAGCATTAGACACCGAACAGCAGATGATGTAACTGTGGCCATCAGATATGTATTAGCCTGACAGCAGTGGAGCACACTAAGACAGCAGATGATTTGATTAGCCCTTGCTATACTCTGCCAGCCTTCAGCCATGTCAGCAGTGAGCAGGATGCTGTAGACGGAAAGTGGCATGGGTGTGCATGAAAGATTGCAAGGTTTAGTAGGCCTCTGCAGCTTAGCTTTACACTGATCAGAGGTGAAATTTTATTGCAATTCTGTAACCAAGGACTGTTGTAAATAAGTAGTATTACCATTTGTGCCTACTGCATTAACAACATGGAAAAGCATTTTTCTTTTCAGAGAAAGTTGCAATTAAGATTTTGGACAAGACAAAGCTAGACCGGAAGACTCAACGTTTGCTATCTCGTGAGATATCCAGCATGGAAAAACTGCACCACCCAAATATCATCAGATTGTATGAAGTGGTGGAGACACTCTCAAAACTGCACCTGGTGATGGAGTATGCAGGAGGTGGGGAGCTCTTCACTAAAATCAGTACAGAAGGGAAGTTGCTAGAAACAGAGTGTAAAATAATCTTCTCCCAGATTGTGTCTGCTGTGAAGCACATGGTAAGTTGCTCTTCTTCCACAGGCATGTTGCCCCACATTAATCTAGCAGATTTTGTGGATGTATCTTTTGGTTTTCAACTAGTAGGTTTACTGTTACCAAGATTTCAGGCCCACATTTCTGAGGAGCAAAACAGCTAGAGAAGTGCTGTCTTAAAGGTATCTGAGAGAGCTTTCACATCCACCTCAAGTTAGTGCCTCTCTGTTGACAGCTATTGGGAGGGGACTGAACACTGGGTTCACCTGTGGTGAACACCAACAGCATTCCCCTGTCTGCTTTAAGTTGCCGTAGACACCAGCTAACAAAGCTTCATTTCTTCCCTTCAGCTATTTCAAAACATGGGATCAGTCACTCTTCTCTGGAACACTTTCTTCTAGCGGAAGAGGCCTATTAGGTGTTGCAAACATCCAGCTTGCTTATTAATGAATGTGGGAGACTGGTACTTAAGACAGTTAATTCTTGGTTCTCGCTTTGGCACACATCTGTGAAGTTAACAGCCAGCAATTCACTTCCCCTTGCCTAGTCTTCAGTATTGCAACAGAGCCCAAAGCATCTTATAAAGGCAGAAAAGGAGCAATTAACTACTTCAGTACCATCTCCTCTGAACTTTGCATAGTAACTACAGCTACTTCAAACAACAGCATAAGAACACGGAAAATCCGTTCTGCAAATTTGAGAAGTAAAAGTAGTATTTGTTAAAGCTGGCTCAGGGTGCCCTCCAGTGGCTCATATTCTCCTGCCACGTAAGGGCCTCAGGCAAAGCCAAAGCAAGAATGTTCCCGGGTCAGACATCTACAAACTGCATTGCAATCTGCTCATGACATATATAAACAGTATGCATTTTTTATATATTTTGACACAATGATCATATGTCCTGTAAGCGATGGATTAGCTTCAACACCTTTTCCACAGGACAGGTACTCTGCAGCTACTGGAACTTTACATTTCAAGATAGCATCTAGTTCTCAGCATTAAACCCAGACTACCAAGCTGGCCAGCCTCTTCAGTTGTACACACACAGTTCTGCAAAACATTTTACTTTTGCTAAGCCATCAAATCCAGGCTACTTAAATCCCATCTCAGTGCTACCAGTCCACAACGAGGACTGAAGATACCTGCCTGTTACTGATGACAGTTTAAAAATCTTAGGATACCCAAGGGCTTCCTTATTGCCTCCGGATACACACACACCTTGTTACTTCAAAGGGCAGGGCAGAGAGTGCTCGAACACATCCATTCCTCCCAGTTATTTCAAAGATGAAGCTAAACCCTTACCTAATCAGGACAGGTGTATCGCCACTAAGCAGAGCAAATTCTGTTTGAGTCCTTGGCTACTACTGCCATTTCCAAGGGAAAAAAATTACAAGTTACAGCATATGTATTTATTTTAGATTTCTAAAACTAGAAGACACCACTGAACTTGGTGTCCTGCAACAACATGAAATACCACAAGGCACAAGTCTGTGGTCCTTTTCTCCTGCCACCACCAGTTCCTCATAGGACATCACATCACGCAACAGAATTTTAGCAACTTTCTTACTTTATCTGTAATTATGTTTACTTGGTGAACTAAGTGCTTTTGCTTCTTAAGTCCACAAGCTTAAAATATACACAAAAATGGAATTCATTAAAAAGAAGTTATGTGTTACTTACATCATTACAGAAATGTAGTAACTGCAAAAGCAAGCGTTCTGAGCCCTGAAAAAGACAGATTTTGCACGTGAAGATATCTAGTCTTGAAGGATTAGCCACAATGCCATCACAGATCTGCTTCATTAAAATAGCTGATATTACTTAACAAGTTGAGACTGCTATTCTTAAAAAAAAAAACAGCATCCTTCCAATCTTCTCCACCGGCTCCATTGCTTTTGTATCAGTAGAGAATTAAGTTAAATTTGTTTACATAATTTAACTTTTCAGTTACATTGCAATACTTAGTTCTGACTTTGTCCAAGTAACTCCCTGACTCTTGTGTGGTATTTAATCTATGGTAAGAGCTAGTCACTTGAGAACTTCTCTGTGAACAAGCTAACACCAAATTTACCTCTTATTCTACAGCATGAGAATAATATCATTCACCGGGACTTGAAAGCAGAAAATGTCTTCTACACCAGTAACACCTGTGTTAAGGTGGGAGACTTTGGATTCAGCACAATAAGTAAAAGAGATGAAACTTTAAATACTTTCTGTGGCTCTCCTCCCTATGCTGCCCCCGAACTCTTCCGAGATGAAAACTATGTTGGCATTTACGTAGACATCTGGGCACTGGGAATCCTGTTATACTTTATGACGACAGGCATCATGCCATTTCGGGCAGATACAGTGGCCAAACTGAAAAAGTGCATTCTTGAGGGGACATACAGTTTGCCTCCCTGCCTCTCAGAAACTTGCCAGAAACTGATAAAAGGAGTCCTTCAGCCAGTACCAACAGAACGATACTCTGTCAAACTTATTATGAACAGTGAATGGATGCAAGGAATACAGTACCCCAAACCTTTACAGCCGTTTAAACTGGATCCAAAGTATTTATCAGACATCAGTACACTCAAAGAGGAAGAAATTGAAGTGAAAAATATTCTGGAAGAGCTGGGAATCACAGAAGAGCACATTCAAAATAACCGGGGAAGAGATGCGCGCAGCTCAATAACAGGGGTCTACAGAATTGTTTTGCACAAGGTACAGAAGAAAAGGGCACTTGAATGTGTTCCTATCATGTCCCACCCAGACCCCAAAGAACAAGACTTGAGGAGAGGAATCTGTTCTTACAGCGGGATGAAGCACACATCCAAGCTGTGTTCTATTTTATAAACTGCACTGCAGGCTTTATACTTGGCACATTTAACAAAGGGTTTTATTCACTTTCCACAAGTTCTGGTGTTACATTTTTTGTAATTTTTGAATAAACCAAAAATGCCTCATCTCTCCTTTGCATTTCTCAAGTCACCGCAAAGTGCTCAAATAGAGGTCTCATGCATTTGTTTGTTCCTTGCTCCAGAGAAAGAGACATGGTGTAGCCAGTGCAAGAACCCCAGTAAGTGAAACAGGTAAGGGATCATTAGTGGAGGTGATCCTTTAGTAAAGGTCAAATAGTATTGCATTTAACACACTTGGGAGATTCTCAGTACAGGCACTTAACAGCTAACTTCTTGAAAAGTTGTACCTCAGCTTGACTCAGCTTTACCACTGCAAACCAGGACAGTTTATGCAGAGAACTAAATTTAAGCAGAAACCTAAACTTAAGCAGAAACCAGAACATAATCTAAAGAACTGCAAATTCTTCTTTAAGACTTCTTCAGAAAATTTAAACATAATAAAATGTGTATCAGAGCCTGTTTTTTTTTTTTAATTTAAAGAAACAGCAATGCTGTTGTTGACCACAATTCCTAATTTGTCACAGTTCAGAAAAGCAAATTAGGATATGCTGCTTTAACTGTGCATGTGTGGTTGCAATTCCTAGCGCATAACTGGTTGGGCCACCACCTACTAAACTCCGACACCTCCCATTACTCACACCATTCTGATGGTCTAGAACTGCCTGGACTCCAGTTGCACTAAAGAAGGATTTAACTGTACTCCAAAACTCATGTAGTTTTAAATTCTTGCTTTAGCACTAAGTATCATGAACACAACCAGTAACAAAATCTACTTATATATATTGAGCATTACAGGCTTGTACTAACTCCTGCCATACTACTTTGGCAACAAAGGCTGGCACAAAGCCAATTTTGACACTCTTGACCACTGCAAGTTGAAAGTTGGATAGCCTGACAACTCCAATTGTTCTGAGCATCACCAAGATGTAGATACTCAGATTTTCAGCTTTAATTGCTTATTTTATACTTCAATCTTCAACACCATCAGCTCCAATGCAAATGGTGGAAAAGTGCAGTAGCTGTCCTCTGAACAGGCATAGCTGACATGCCTAAGCTAAGAGGTAGAGCCTGTATGATTTTAGTTAAGGCAAGTAAACTAATAACAGGTTTAGAGAGGTACAGCTAGTGCTTTCAAATTTAAGGGTAGGGTGCTTTATCTATTATGGGGACTGATGAGATGATCAGCTGACTCTAAAAGGAGTAATTAATGCAAATGAGCAACAGAATGACTCTGAAAAGCCACCCATAGGAATCTGGACTCAGTGAGGCTCAGGTAAGCACAAAGCAAGAACGAATCCCCCTTCACAGTTTTTCTGAGGGTGATAAAACAATACCATCTTTCCTAAGACAGTAATAAAGATTAATTGTATTCCATAAGTGGGGAATGAATTGCTCCACTATGGAGAGTCTCTGTATGAAAGCATTTAAGTTATCTTAAAACAAAGCCCTGAAATAACAGTTTTGCACCAGCCTAAGCAACCCTTTCTTTCCATTTTCGTAATGGAATGATATTAAGAAGAAAGATCCAGAAGGTCCACACAGCTTGTGAACCCACAACTTTGGGTTTTCACAGGGCCAGTTTCCTCTTTCTTTCCTGTTAAAGAAAAAAAAAAAGCATCCTGAAAACCCAACAAGTCAGCACTACTCCAACAGGTTTCAAATATCTCAAACTTTATTTTAATAAAGGATCAGCCCCACAGACCGTGAGGTCCCTGTGGTTAACTTTGTGCCAGTAGCTCACTTTGTGGCTTGTCCACTGCCAGCAATGGACTTTGTTCAATGGCAATTTGTTTTTCTGGTGTCAAGACAAGTTTCACGAGGGCAACCTAAACCAAAATACTTGCAAACACTATCATCATGCATCATTGCTCCATCATTTTCAGCAGAACAAACAGATTAGTATTCATCAATTTATAATAAACAACTATTTTACCAAGGCTTGACTGTACAAATACAGCAAATTATCAAATCCTAGTGAGTGACAGATAGTACAAACACTTCATTACACACACAAAAAAAATGTAATTTAACAGACATCATTTTTTGCTACTTTATATTAGATAATGTAGCTTTGTAGAATCAGCAAAGAAATAAATTCAAGAAAACTTCATTCTGTACATTAGCTCAACTTAAGTATATATTACAAGCTTACAAGGCTCATGTCATAGTTCATTTCCAATCTGGGCTTTAAAAATCTACCAGAATGGACTCCCCATTAGCATTGTATATCTACCACTTGCAAAATGGTTAGCTTTTAAGCTTGCATGTTGGGAAAGAAAAAAAAAGAAAGAAAAGACCCCACTCCTACAATATTACCAATAGTGAGAAGGACTTCAAAGTACAAAGCCAAATTCAAAGTTAGAAATAGTCTTTCAGAAATGTATTATATAAAAGATTAGTGAGAGGCCAGAGCTCCAGACAAAGTGATCCTCCTCTCTTCCTTCATTTGCCAATTAAGACAGCTCCATAACATCTACAAATTTATTTGAAAATTCTGCTGCCTTCCTTAGATACTTCTACTAAACAATCCTAAAAGGAGCCAAATCAATGAATCCACTTCTTTAGAAGAAAAAAACCTACTACCTCCCTTCTTTTTCCTCTTTCTTCCCAGGCTGCTGTGATTTATAATGCAGGTATAAAACACATAATATGGATGTTAGGAGGAATTACATAGTAACTAACACAGTGGGTCACAGAGTTTCTTGGAAGAAAAGCACCTGTCAGTCTAGCCATTCTTGATACAGTCATTTTGACAGGGGAGAGAGATTCTATTCCAGCAATGAACATTACTTGGTTCTATACCTTTCCCAAAGCAATGGGGTGATGGGAAGTAGACTGGGAGAAGAAAGAGAAGGTGATAAAGGGAAAGAGAAGAAGTGCAGTATTCAGAAGATTGCTTATTGTGAAGGCACTGAGAACCCTAACGTTAAAAGCTTGGACTATTTTGCCACAGACTTGAGTACAAGTAGAAGTTAACAGTACAGGTTTCAAGTCATTTTACATGGAAAGAGCAAGCAGAAGATTCTTTTTTTTTCTATGTACAAAGACCTTGTAATAGACTACAGCTACTGCTCAGCAATTAAAAAAATTCAGACATGTTAAGGAATCCACATAGGCCCTGGCAAGTCCCTCCATCTCCAGTATATTAATGATTTTAGTGTTCTGAAAAATTCTATAAATATCAGCACACTGTATTATGACAAATCTTTTCAAGGAGCTTAAACAGTTTTTCCATGCTTCAGTAAAGTACTATTGTACACTGAAGCTTCAGCACTACTGCAATCCTTTTTCTCTCTCTCTCTCTCACCCTACCCTCACACCTTGTTTCATTCCCCACCTCACAGAGGTATCTTAATGCTCCCCATTGGAAATGGCAACAGTAACGCCTTCAGACTCTGTTGTTGCAGGGATTCTTGGCACTTTCTTAGCAGGGCTTGGGATGTGCTAAGAAGAAGGGAAAAAAACCATTAAATACAGTTTTCTAGTTCACAGACATTCATACTTCATGGCTAGTCCAACTCTCAAACAGCATTCATGCTACACTGGACAGCTGGGTCTTAAGTCAATCATATCAGTCATGCTTCATGCAAACTGATTATGTGAAAAGAGCCAGTTCTTGTTTCATTCTTGAGCAGCTTCATTCTTGTCATGATGAAATGTACTTTTTAAAACCCCATGTTCAATTTTTTGCTTCTGGCTTGTATGTTACATATGTTAACAAAGTATTTAATATAATTTGTTAAATCACCTTCTTTTTTAACATACATGCACATGCTAAGACAAACACATAAACCGTTCCACTATTTATATTAAACTTTAAAACTGAGTGTTCACCTCATGAACAACGCCTGGGTGGACAACTTCGACTCCTGCCTCCAGAGGTCCATCGCCCATCAGTGGGCGCCGGGCGTAAGTTCTCCTGTGTTTCTCATCCACACGCACAAGGTACCATGTTCCCTCGAACAGATCTTCTACCGAACACTGCGGAATATAGTTGGCTGTAAAAAAGCCAGTAACACACTGTTAGTTGGTTCCTGGTAAGAGTTTCATGCAATGCAGGTCTTTGCAGTTTGGATGTAGTAAGACAGAAAAAACAAGTCTGCGCTTTCGTTTCAGCCTCACTGGGCCAATGAACACAAGCTATTCAGAAGTAGAAAAGGTCAGATATTTCCTTCCTTCTAGACCCTATTCATTTGAAGTCAGGTGAATTAAGTGATGAGCATTTTGCTGTAAGACTAGGAATGATTTATATATATGAACTTCTTACCCAAATGATGTGTTTCCTGTCTAATCTTCATGTTTTCAGCAAAGACATCAGGAGCAATACATTTTCTTGAGTCAAGTCTTGTTTTGAGATCAGAAAGGCTGGCAGTTATTTTGTCCAGTGCAGAACCTACAATATAAAACCATCACGTAAGGTAGCACCAGTGCTGAGAACTGCATGCTGACATGTTAACATTTCAAGCTCATTCAACATATTTTGCATTACAGAAGCTAAATTTTTAGTCATTTAAAAATATTCCCAATAACTCAATCAAAATGTTAACAGAGTTTGAAGAGTATTATTTATTTGCCCAAGGAGACACTTTAACATTCCCTGGAGCTGGAACATCTTCAGTTTAGCATTTCTGTCATTCACCACGGCTCTCCAGGTTTACTTATGCTGTTGGGTAGGGTAACAAGGCACGCAGAGGTGAGCTGTGCAAGGGAGTTAAAATTAACATCTCTTCCTTTCACTCACCAGGAGTGGCATCCTGGGTAACTCTGATGGAATACAGCGTAGCAGCAAAACCAGAGCCATATGAGAACACACTGATTCTCTGTCCTGCGAGCTGCTCTGGGGAGTACCTGCAAATCAAGCAACAGTTGTTTAAAGTGAGAATTAAGCCAAGGTGCCAATTTTAAAAAACTATAAAGTGCAGCTAGCTTAGAAAAAGCAGCCAGCAGATTATTTTGACTACAACACACATTTAGCATGCTATGTGCATAAATGACTTTTAAAAACACAGTTTCAAACACTGCTGTTAGGTGGTGAGTTCCAAAGCTGCCTAAGCAAAACAGAGCAAAGAAATGCCCAGAATATGATTATCTAGAAGGGAGCCAGTTTTCATTCTTAAGTGACCTAAAGCCTAAAATGAACAACCACATATTGGAAGGCAAAGTCAGAATAAAGACAAAAGGATCCAAGAGGAATGATTTCATTTAAACTTAACATGATTTTGTAAAAGTCTGTCATTGCAAAAAAAAAAAAAAAAAAAAATTAAGTACGTACTAATTTAATGTGGCTTTGCTTATTACAGTGAAACAGAGAAGGCATTCTGATTCTCTTTTCCACTGCAGTGGGATTGGTTTTGGGTTTTTTTTTT